ATCCATACTGAAGGCTGTAGTCTTTGATCTTCATCAGTAAGTGCTTCAAGTCCTCTTCACTTTCAGCAAGCAAGGTTGTGTCATCTGCGTAATGCAGGTTGTTAATGAGTCTTCCTCCAGTCCTGATGCCCCGTTCTTCCTCATGTAGTCCAGCTTCTCGGATTATTTGCTCAGCATACAGATTTAATAAGTATGGTGAAAGGATACAACCCTGACCTACACCTTTCCTGATTTTAATCCATGCAGTATCGCCTTGTTCTGTTTGAACGACTGCCTCTTGATCTATGTACAGGTTCCTCACGAGCTCAATCAAGTGTTCTGGAATTCCCGTTCTTAGCTATGTTATGCATAGTTTGTTATGATGCACACAGTCAAATGCCTTTGCGTAGTCAACAAAACACAAGTAAACATCCTTCTGGTATTCTCTACTCTCAGCTAGGATCCATCTGACATTAGCAATGATATCCCTAGTCCCGTGTCCTTTTCTGAATCCGGCTTGAATTTCTGGCAGTTCCCTGTTGATATACTGCTGCAGCCGTGTTTTAATGATCTTCAAGAAAATTTTACTTGCTTGGGATATTAATGATATTCAATAATTTATGCATTCAGTTGGGTCACCTTCCTGTAACCCATCATGGTGTGGGATGTTTGCTGTCTCCTTGCTGTGCCGCAGACGGGGTATGTGTTTTTATTTCCAGTTCGTGTTGTGACTCTGAGGCTCTCTCCAGGAAGGAAGGAGAAATGCTGGCTGACGCCTCCGTCTGCAGCCAGAGTCTTCTCCATCTGCTCTCCAGCTCCCGGAATTCCTGGAGATTCCTGGCGTGCTGATTTTATCCTTGTTTGTCTCCTAGCGTTCTCATGTGTTTAGTCTTTAGAGTGTCCGTCTTTGCCGTTGTTTCACTGGGGTCAGGGTGGGGCAGGTGAATGCTGGTGGCCATTCTGCTCTCTCCAGCTAGAGTTCTCTAGAACTTTGATTCCACCGCCTCCTGAATGCTACATGGCCTCTCAGTGCTCCTCCTGTGGCTGCCCAGCCGATGAGCATGTCCTGCTGGCCGAGGCGGCTGCAAGCATCGCTCCTCGGTTTCCCCAGGAATGTGTCAGGGAGGAGGGTAGGGTGGGAGGTGATGGTGGGAGTGGGGGCCCGTGGCATTGTTGGAGAGGAGGGTACAGGTATAGAAGGACTGGGGCTCCATGCTGGGGCAGGTGGTGGTGCTTCGAGGCGTGTGGGGTTTGGGTGGGTGTGCTGCTCTGGTCCCTGGACAGGACAGCCCGATGCCGCCCTTACAGTCCCCTGCCCACCGCCAAGGGCTTGTTAGGACTCGTAGTTTTGGGAAGTCCTGGCCACCACCTATGGCCCGGCTGCTGTTCTCAGTCCTAAGAAGAGGGAGGAGGCATTTCCCTGCTGTGCAAAGACAGGAAGCAAGGCCGCCCTCAGTTTCCCTTCTCTCCTTTGCAGAGTGAAGAAGACGATGCTTTAGGTGGCAGCGGCCGTGTTGCTCCTGAGCTGCGGCTGGTGGCGCTCCAGGGTAGCAGCCTTGTGTCCGTCTGGTGCTGCGCTGTGCGTGGAGGTCGGCGGCGCCTTTGCTCCTCAGAGTGGCTCGCAGCGGAATGCGGCCCCGTCGTTCCCCCTAGAGCAAGTCGGTTGGCGGGGTGTGACCTACACACGCGTCATAACTGCTGTGGATGTAGGAGTCACGTCCGGCGGGTGCGAGAGGGGCTGCACGCTTCTGTGTCGGGCACAAGGAAACTGCAGCCCTGGACATGGCCGAGTCGCACATGAGGAGTGAGTCGGGGGAGGCAGGGCGGGGCTGTTCCTCCAGGTCACCCTGCCCTGGGCTATGGGCTGAGGCACTCCCAGCCCCTGCGACCTCGAGGGGGTGTGGAGACAGGGTAGGGCCGTGCCTGGGAGAACCTGGCGAGGGTGCCTGGCGGGGAGTGGCTGCAGGTGCGGACTCCCAAGTCTGCTCGCCTGGCACGTGTCCGCAGGCTGCGACCCGCCGCTGTGCCCAGTGGAGCAGCGTGCGGACAGGGCTGACCAGACTGTCATTTCGCAGGGCTGTGCGCCACCCTGATGGACGCAGTTACCGACAAGGATCCGCAGGTGCAGGAGCAGATCTGCAGTGCCCTGTGCGCCCTCGGTGAGGCACAGCCAGAGGAGACGCTCCGCGCCTGTGAGGAGTACCTGCGGCAGCATGAGAAGGTACGTCTGCCCCTTGGCGGCCTCCCTGCTCGGGGGTGGCATGGTCATGGTGCACAGCCCACGTGTGGGGTCTCCCCAGCCGGCCTGTGGGGCAGGGTGCCATCAGAACTGGGTGGCACAGGGGTCATTGCACCTGGGACAGTTTGCGTCTTGTGCCCTGAGTTGGGGCTGGGGAGGTGAGGGTGCTGCCCCAGGGCTGTCCAGGAGTGAGCACATCCTCTCAGCTCCCTCAGGTCTGACTTGGTCCACAGGGGCATTTCCAGGACAGGCGGCCTGGCCTTGTCACACATGGGTGTGTGGCTGTGTCCCCTGGGGAACTGAGGGGCCCCGTTATGAAGTGACTGACATCCACAGTGCAGTGTTTGACACGCATGGCACCAGGGCTGCGACGGGGGCAGGCACAGGGGTTGTTGCTGTGGTTGCTTAGGGGTGCCTGGATGACTGCCAGCTGCCAAGTACTGTGTATGGAGCTGGGGTACAGACATGGTCCCTGCCTGAGGAGAAGAAGGGTCCCCAGTGTGCAGGCCCAGGAAGGCCCCCGGGAAGCACTGTGAGGGAGTGCGCCCAGGTTTGGTGTTAGACAGGGTTGGTGTCTTCGGGGCGGCTGCATTGGTCCCTCAGCCCTACGCTCCAGAATGCTGCCGTGGGGCAGCGGCTCACCCACAGGGGGCACAGCCACCACCCCATGCTCCTGTGCAGACGCAGCGACTTGGAGGAAAGGCTGGAGCTAAACAGAGCGTCTGTGTTCTGGGGCTCTGCAGGGTTCCCAGGGCTGCCCCTCAGCCTGGCTCAGGCCTCTCCACCAGCCTGCAGCCCTCCTCGTCTGAAGTGGTGATCCGGCTTGCTGGTGGTGGTGGTGGTGGTGGTGGTGTGGGGCGGGGCCATTCCTGGCAGAGGAAGAAACGTCTGCAGCCTCTAGAGACGTTTTCTTTGGGCTTTATTGATATTTTGACATGTGCAAAGGGTCTCTATGCAATGTGGAGGAGTCTCTGGGTGGCATAAACAGTTATGTGCCCGACTGCTAGCCAAAAGGCTGGTGGTTTGAACTCACCCAGAGGTGCCTCAGAAGACAGGCCCGGCAGTCTGCTTCTGAAAGGTCGGAGCCTTGACAACCTTATGGAGCAGTTGTGCTCTGTCACGTGGGGTTGCTGTGAATCGAAATCATCTTGATGGCAGCTCTCAACAACATACGACATGGATTGTTTCTCTCGTATCTGCCGTATTCTGTGGGACCAGCCCGTGGGCCGACTGCGGCTGGGGAGT